TGATCTTTTCTTGCTAAAACTGCAAGAGGCTTTGATTTTTAATTCTAAAATCTATTTCTTTAATAACTATCTTCTAAACTGCAGATAGTTTTTATTTTTTGACATGTTTCTTCCTGAGATCCATTTAATTTGTCTAGTTTCAGGTCAGAAATGTTGTTTTCTTCATTGAGAATGGTGATTTCATTTCTAGGGGTAGGGTTTTTCTCCTGGAGCTTCCCTGATTCATCTCAAAAATTCAAAAATCTCAAAATTTCAACTTTTGCTGTATCCACTGCATATGATTTGGAAATCATATATCACTGCCCTCAACTATCATTCTCCCTTTGAAAATGTCTATCTTTTTGCTTGGCAGGGGTGATAATTCTCTCTTTAACTTTTTCATCATCTCCTGTAACTTTTGCTCCAGTTTTAACTTTGCTATTATGACCTGACACTGCAATGCTCTGTCCTGAAGGCCTAGAAAAGCAGTACTTTTTTTTTTTTTCAAAGGGTGAGTTTTAATGTTTATTTACAGGAGGCTGCAAGATATGAAATTCCACATAGAAATAAGAAACGTAGCCAGAGGACAAGCTTCATACAGTATGTACAGTTGGAACTGTTCAAGTATAGTTTCAGTGTAGAAATTGCTACAATAACAAACCACATTTAGAAAGAGTTCTTCGTAGAGAAACAGGAAGACAAAATACCAAACATAGTACACAACAGATTTATACCTCAGCTACATGATCTAAAAGTTAAAGGTCCCAAGAGTCCCATCCTGAACTTGGAAGGTATAGCCTTCTGAGGTACTTTCTGGCACAACACTTTGATCTTCCTCTTCCTCTACAGAGAAATACTTCTCAATAAAGTTTACTGAAGCCTTATACACAGACTCATTTTCATGGTTTTGCAGAGCTTCAATTTTGTCTAAGCCTCCACATTCTTCAATCATTATACAAAGTTTCTCAGTTTCACCTAGTTTCTCAGCAGCCTGAAAGATATTTGAAATGGTATCCAGGATAACCAGAATAATCTTGGCATCCTTTGCAGTTAAGAGGTTCATCAACAGTTCTATTACGCCACAGTGAACAAGGTACACAATCTGTTCAACTGTTCCACCACCGGTATGGTTGGTCACAGCCCATACAGCTTCCTTTTGTGTCTTAAAATCTGCCTTAGAAAGAACACTGACAAGGAATGGGACTAATCCATGATTCACAACTTGCTGTATCTGGTCCTGACGGCCAGCTGTGATGTTTGACATTGTCCATGTAGCTTCCTTCTGAATGTTAGTTTTGGGGTTGGTGAGCAGGCTGGGAAAGATGGCAAGCGCTCCTGCATCCATCACAACCTGAGTCTGTTCATCTGTACCAGTGACAATATTCCCTATGGCTCATAGTGCAGGAGTCACAATTGGCAATTCAGAAGCTCCTAGAAGCTTCACAAGTTGGGGCACAACTCCTGTTTTCATGACCACGTCAATTTGTTCGTTTGGACCATCAGTAAGGTAGGAAATAGCCCAGCAGGTATCTGCTAATACTTCTGGATCATCATGATGCAGGAGCCAAACTAAGGTAGGAAGAATCTGCTCAACAGCATCTAACGGGGGTGCAGGATTCTTGTTGCGGCAAAGATTTGAAAGTGTCCAGGTAAGATTATGTAAGTAACCACATGCCAAAGATGACATATCGGGAACTGCAAGAAGAGCCAAGAGTGGGTCAACTGCACTGTACTTAATAACCAAGTCTCGGAACACTGAGCCATCACCTGCAACGTTTCCTAGAGCCCATACAGCTTGTTCACTGATGTGAGCATGGGGAGATGCCAACAGAGAAATGAATGCTGGGATGGCACCTCCATCTACCACAGCCTTGATTTGTTCTGATGTCCCAGAAACAATGTTAGTGAGTGCCCAAGCAGATTCAAACTGAATGGGACTACAATCAGTTCTGCCCAAGAAGGACACAAATTTTGGAATCAATCCAGCCTGGATTATGTTGTCTATGGGGGGCTGTTTTTCTCTAGAAAGTAGTTTCCTGGCAGCTTGAGTAGCTTGGAGCTGATTTTCCACGTTGTTGCTGTTTATGCCTTTGACAATGTCATCAACAGACCAATTTACAGTGCCCTGGTTGTTGTGGTTTTCCTGCAGCGGAGAAGTAGCATCATCAGGAAATGAGCTTACATTTCTCCTCTTCAGCATCTGATCATCCTTCTTAGCTTTCCTCAGCTTCACATTGACTTCTATTCTGCGATGCCTCACTTCTGTACTGTCTTTTCCCTTGTTCTTGAATCTGTTAAGATGGGCAGCTGGTGTATGTGCATTCTCGTTGGTGGACATGGTTATGAGACAAAGGGAGAAAACTGCGAAGTGGGCCCGGGCTTCCACAGGAGGCGTAAGCGGGGATCCGCAGCTGTGGGGAGGCTGAGCTACAAGCGACCACCTTGGCTCAGCTCAAAGACTGTATGCAGCAGTACTTTCTTTTAGAATAACTTGATTCTAAACTCTTGGTTTTACTTGATATATCTGAATTTTTCCATGTAACGAGAAAATTTCTCATTATTTTACTAAGAGCCATGTATCCCCCTATTCAAGGTACCAGTTTGTTTAACATTTCTCCATGATATATATTCACAATCTTGGACATACTTCCTGTGTCTGATTAAATTCAGGTAACTCTTCATTAGGTTTGACTTCCAGGATACCTAACTAGTAACTAGGCTTCCGAAAAGGAAAAGCAATCACACTACAGAAGATTCTTCTTTATCTTTTTGGTAACTGGCTTAAAACACAATGATATTTTTTGTTTTATCAAGGTAATTTCCCATGTTATGAGTTTTTTTTGATTACTCAGGTTTGAAAGCATTAATTTTTTATACCTATATATAAATTTACTTAACTTTACTTAATTTACTTTACTAAATTTATAAACTTTGTTTAATTTTACTTTTTACAGTTTATTTTTAATTTTCATAGGTGCATAATAGTTGTATGTATTTATGGGGTGCATGTGATATTTTGATAGAAGCATACAGTGTATAATGATCAAAACTGGGTAACTGGAATATCCATCATCTCAAACATTTATTATCCCTTTGTATTGGGAAAAGTCCAGGCTGAGTGCGGTGGCTCATGCCCATAATCTCAACACCTTGGGAGGCCAACACAGGGGAATCACCTGAGGTCAGGAGATTGAGACCAACCTGGCCAACATGGTGAAACTTGGTCTCTACTAAAAATACAAAAATTAGCCGAGCATGGTGGTGGGTGCTTGTAATCCCAGCTGCTTGGGAGGCTGAGGCAGGATAATCGCTTGAACCAAGGAGGCAGAGGTTGCAGTGAGCCAAGATCATGCCACTGCACTCCAGCCTGGGTGACACAGTGAGACACTGTCTCAAAAAAAGACAAGTCTAAACCTTCTCTCTTATTTTGAAATATGCAGTAAATTATTGTTAACTGTAGTTGCCTTACTGTGCCACCAAACACTTTCTATCTAATTGCATTTTTGTACCCATCAAGAAACCCCCTTTTGTGTCCCCATCTGCACTACCCTTTCTAGGTTCTGGTCACCACCACTCTATTCACTACTTTTATGAAATGAATTATTTTTAGCTCCACATGTGAATGAGAACATGCAACACTTGTCCTTCTGTGTCTGGTTTACTTCACTTAACATAATGTCCCCAGTTCCATCCATGTTGCTGCAAATGACTTGATTTCATTCTTTTTAATGGCTGAATAATATTCCATTGTGTATATACACCACATTTTCTTTACCCATTCATCTGCTGATGGACACTTGGGTTGATTCCATATCTTGGCTAGTGTAAGGCATGCTATAATAAATATGAGAGTGCAGATACATCTTTGATATACTGACTTCCTTTATTTTGGATATATATCTAGCAGTGAGATTGCTGGATCATATGACAGTTCTATTTTTAGGTTTATGAGGAATGTCTATACTGTTTTCCAGCATGGCTGTACTAATTTACATTCCCACAGCAGTATACAAGGTTTCCCTTTCTCTGCATCTTCATCAGCATTTATTATTTTCTGTCTTTTTGATAATATTCATTTTAACTGGGTTGAGATAATATCTCTTTGTGATTTTGACTTGCATTTTCCTGATGATTAGTGGCATTGACAACTGTTTTGAGAAATGTCTATTTAGGTCTTTTGCCTATTTTTAAATTAAATTCTTTTTTTTTTTTTTTT